TCTAGAGCCGTCGATGAGACTTCATTAATTGTAAAATGTTCTATTAGAAATATTTTAATTAACTTCAGTGAAAGTAACGTTAGCTTTATTTGACCACACATTTTCTAGACAAATAAACAGGAACCATATATAATAAAATATGAAAGTGTATATCATGTCCTTTGAATTTAATTAAGATTATTGATTAGGTAATTATCGTTATTCTGTATCGTCTCAAAATGTTTAATTAAGTTTCACCTGAGTGTAAAAGTTAAATAAAGATTATATGCATTTGGCTATTTATGAAACTAATCCTTAAATGAATACTTAGGTGGAAAATTTGCTCATAAGCAAATTTTTAGTATTAAATTTACCGAAAATTAAAATTCAGATTTGAAAGGAAACCATATCGATTGTTAAGAATAGTATATTTTAGTATATATTAGAAGCTATCAAAACTAGTTAATCGGTTTTTCAATATACAGCTTATGAGTTAGGGAAACCGGTATGACTTTCAAGATAATTAAATTACCTAACAGATTCACATAGCTCACTGCTTATGACCTAACCAAACAACGACCTAGGCCATTTTTAAAGGATCATTTTACCTTTAAATAGACAGTGAATCATCTCGAAAGTTTTTCATTTTTACTTTAAGCGTTGAGATGACTTGTATTTGGCTAGCGTCTTCTTTAAACAGATCTGTTTCATCTATCTGTCGTAAGTCAGTGAGAGTCTCGGGGTAGAAGATCAGTCCATGAAGAGGTAAAAGATGGATTGGTTATCTCTCGGATCAATATATTAAAATAATAAGCAAAAACAAAGATGAATTTCAAGCTGAAACATACATAGTACGCTATAAAATAATGAGCTTAAGGTTGGGTTTCGAATTCACATGGCAAAAAAGTCTAATCACAATTTAGACCTAAATAACTCAAACTTTTACTAATACAGATCCAAATAGTACAGTTATAACAAACTAGGATTTTCCTTTTGTTTAATGCTTATTAAAATTAAAATAACAGAAGCTAAACATAAGGTAATTAGTCTAAAATAAGTAGTAAGTAAATTAATAAGTTAAGATTCTAATGACACTGATTACAACCTAACCCAAATATAATCACCTTTACAGATATTTCTATAACCGGAAAATATATAAGCAAATGGACTAGGCTTTGTCTACCTATGGACAAAGCAGTTAGTTCACATGATATATAGATAATGGGATATCGGAATGTTCATAACCTAAAAAACGTATAAACTAGAAACTATAAATATAGTACAATTTATCATTTAATTATATAAAAATAAATCGCAATAATGGAGTTAGTAAGTTATGTTTTAACTTTTAACGTTAGTGTATCTTCATTATCTTAAAATAATACATTAGTTATAAAACAATTTCAAAATCTATAGATTAAAAATGTTACCTGACCAGTAAGGATTTATCATTAAGCCGTTGGAAATCATTAAAATATTTACTTGACGTCAGAATAATTCATTCGATTCTCAAAATTAAAAAGTATGTTTCATTTAACTATACATTCGTGTCAACGTTTTTATGTTTTAATATTTTTAGTAATCCCGTTAGATTGATCATTCGTTCTAATATATTTCTGACTTCTCATGCAAACTAACAAGAACAAAACTCAAAAATAGTTATGGTCGAGTTTCTTTTTCATTATTTAGACTGGTAAGCGAGAAATAAGCATTCAGAGATCAACTAAACTTATCCAGCTGTGATAATATGAAATGTGACAGCCCGAATCGATCCCTGTTCATCCCAGGTCTACGTTATCCATGTCTCACTGAGTGACTGAGAGATTGAATTCAAATATTAGTACAAATTTAATTGTATAGAATAATCTCTTATTGCCCATCTCTTCTTAATGTTCTTGTTCTTCAGGCAGTAACTGAAATAATTTATTGTCTTTTCTTTTTTCAGTACAACTAAACAGGAAATTTATAAATGCTTAAAACGTGAATTTAAGTGTGCACAATAGTCCTATATCTGACTTCTATGCAGCCTAGTAATTTTTCCGTACTATTTGTTCGTTTATGTTTCTTCACCCTTTGCTTCGAATACATCCTTTGTATCTCTGAAAAGCTTCCATCATATCAAAACACACATAAGAACAAAGAATGTTCTTTTCAATAAATTCTCTTCAGGTTCTACAGTTCTATTTTCAAATTAGAAAACCCAAAAGTGGACAGGTTCTAGCCAATTACATCGTTTCAAATTATAGAGTGTGAATTCAAGATTGTTTGTAAAATATCATAAAATTGTTAATGTTGAAACGATTAATATGCACCGGTAACTTGAATAGGTTGATGTGTTAAATGAAATTGTATGATTGACAATGAGCATCAAATATAGATGACATAAAGTGAGAAAGACAATAATGCAAATGCAAATTGAATTAAATAATTGCTCAATATTCTTCGTTGAGTTACGGGTTTAAAACTTGATTGAATTGCATTGATTTTAGTTATAAAATTGTATAATTAGCCACTGCATACTAAATGTAACTCATAGTCTAACCACTTTACACAACATTAAGTAAATAATTAAGGAAACTCTGTGATGTGAAATGGGCGAAATACCGGGAACTATCAGTGATACTAAGTGATTTTATGAGTTTATCAGGGACGTTTTTAAATTAGAAAAAGATTAAAAAATAGTTTAAGCATCATTCACTAATCAATTTCATTAGGGAGTTATTAAGAAATCCTTGACTTTATCCTGAAACATAATAAAACCAATATAGTATTTATACAGAGCAATTCAGTCAATTGACTAAAAGGTTTATTGTATCATATTGTGAAGCATGCACTGGACAAACTAACAATAATATTCAGTGTGTAGGTAACGTTTATTAATCTAATTTCCTCAAAATTTTCTTGCGTTTCGCTCAAAAGAAAAGTCAAGTGTAGTTGTTTGGTTTTTACTACAACAGAAAATACAGTTTCAATTCTTATCGTTTAGTCGTGCTTGTTTGATTTGATTTTCACCTCATTACTATAAATGACACCTTTTAAAATAAATCGAAATCAACAAAGGAACCTGAGCATCTTTGATGTAGTATTTCCTATCCTTATTTATTAGATTAAAAACTGGCATAAAGGTTAACAATGGTGATAATTTCTGCATGTTTTTCAGTTTTAGGTGTAAATATAGTGAATAACACATCTGTTGAAGTTAGTGCTTTTTTGACGTTTTTCCAGTTGTCCTCCTTAGCAGTTTCTTCTGTCAGTAAATCTCATAAGGCTTGGAACATGTTGTTGAGAGCTATCTTGAATTCGTTCAGTTTGTGAGCATCTTGAAGGAAGGCTGTATTGAACGTTTGTAATGCTGTTTTCCCAGTAGTCATTTCTTCATAGGGTATGTTGGAATATGTTTTCGCTCTTAGTAAAGTTTCATATTCAGCCGGCTTGTGTGCTGCTGGGTTTTTAGTATGTTATATAAAAATTTGATCATTATAGGATGACTTCTTATTCACTTGATTCTCTAGCTTTCCAGATGCTGTTCTGGGGAACAACTCATCCAATAATTGATAGTTTGCTGTTTATTTTCTTTTTCTTTGTTAACCTTATATCACAAAAATCGTTTCTGATAATATCGTAGGTGCTTACCACTCCGTACTTCTTGATGATAATGAATGTGTTTTCTATGCAACACATTTTGGGTTTGATCACTGGTTATTTGAAAGCTTATCCCTCATTCGTATATGTGAATTTCTCTGGGATTAGTTATTTTAACTGTTGAGTTGGATGTCAAGAATTCTTATTCTAGTTGTATTGATTTTTACCTATTTTGAAGGTCTGGTTGATTATCAATGACTACCTTAATACACACTTAGCACATGCTCTTGGAAGATAGACTATACTTGAAAGTCGTCATTTTATATTGTTGCTACATCTTGATTCTAGTAGCCTTCGTGGCATAAATGTTAGGCTTTTAGATTTAAATTATCAACATATCAAATACATTTAAATTTTGGGGTTGCTAAATATTGTAACTATTTAACTACGCATCAGAGAACAAATATTCCACCTGTTTTATATTCATTCGAGCTGAACAATTATGAATGCTAATTGTATGTACTCAAATAGAAACACTGAATTTCATAGTACATTTTCCTTTTTATCTATCCTTTAACAATTCGAGAGACAAATAAACTGAAATTCTTGCATTCAATATCTGCTGGATGAAAGAATAGTTGTATCAGCTTTAGTAGTAAACCTTAATGACTTTAATATACATGGGAGATACTGATTATGGGAAGGATTTTTAAAATTTACTTTGAATAATTACAATTGAAGGTATGTTAAACAGTTATTCGTTGAAACTTTGAACAACGGGCGCTGAGAATCCTTTACTTTATTGTATTTTAAAGTTGACTACATACAATCCAACCTATTGTCTCCGTTTCTTATTGGAAATAAATTTCTTTAAATTAATTATAATGATGTAAAAATGTGAAAACTAGTGATGTATTCAGAGTTATGTAACATAATTGGTCATTATATGCTTTAATGAGACAAAACAAAAGAAAACATTTTCAATCAAGGTCTACATTATTTAAAATTAGTCTAACTTTTACATAATTTAAAATTTAGTATAATACGATAAACAAAATAATTAGGTTAATCTCATCATATTCCTTTATTGTTGTAAATATAACTTTAAAATTTCGCAGAATAATCTTTATCTGGATAGAAAGTTTATTTTTATTCCTTAAGTGCGCATTAGTTTGACCTTGACACGATTCATCAATCAATGGAATAGTAGTGGAACGACCAATCATACAGTTAGTAAATGATGTTGTTATGGTTACAATAGGAGTATATAAAATATATTCCTCAAAGAGATTTTCAAAGATCATATTAAAATTTACGCGTGACTGTATCCTTCTCGTATAATAAATATTAAGTGATTAAATCAGGAATAAATAAAATTATTTGAAAGTTGTCTAATCTGTGAAGAAATACTTATATAATAAAAACCATCATATTCAAAAATGATTTCAACACCATCGTCTACAATTAATCCAAATCATGAGGACAAGTTGAAATTATTAAATGCTTGTCGTCAAGGTGATTTAGACTATTTAGGTAAATTTATTGTTGATGGAGGAAATCTCCGAAATGTAATCGATAATCAAACTGGACAAACTACATTACACTATTGTGTTAAATTTGGAGAAGAGAAAATTGCTAATGAAAAAGATGATAAAAAGCCAAATGGAAATGACATTCAGATATTTCAACGACAGTTGAATAGATTAAAATGTACACGAGTCATAATTAAATCAAATCCGGAATTTTTAACTTACTACGATCATAATGGATTTACTCCGATACATTTAGCAGTTATTCATGGTGATATAGATTTTTTAAAAGTATTAAATGAATTTAATAATGTAGATATGAAAATTAAGACAAAAGCAAAATCATTAATGTCATCTTCATCATCAACAAGTCATAGTGATTCAAGTGAAATAAATAATACTGGTCGGACAATTATACATCTATGTGTTATTTACTCACAATTAGATGTTTTAAATTATCTTTTAACTAACAGTAATAATCATAATTCTATAAAAGAAATTGTAAATGAATATGATGATCAAGGTGCCACAGCTTTACATTATTCTGTTCAGGTGAATACTGAACAAATCGATGAACTATTTCAATTATTAATCAATATCGGTGGAGCAAATTTAAATGTACCGGATACACATGGTCGTACACCAATTATATGGGCAGCTACAGTTGGTTCTGCGCATGCTGTAGAAGTATTACTTAAATTAGGTGCTAATTTAAGTCATAAAGATTCACATGGTTTGGCTGCATTACACTGTGCTGCATCTAGAGGTAATTTACAAACAGTTCAAACTATCTTGAATTGGATAGCAATTGCAAACAAGGATGATGAGAGTAAAATTGCCCTCCTTCGTGATGCAAATGATAATGATGGATGTAGTCCATTGTTTTATTCTGTTGCAACTGGTCATATTCATGTGACTGAATGCTTAATTAAAGCTGGAGCCGATGTTATGCATACAGATTTTAAAGGTCGTACTGTATGCCATTGTTTAGCTAGATTAAATTCATTGTCCAATGGGATTAAATTTGACAGTCTTATCAAAACTCAATTGACCTGTTTAGTTGAAGCTGGTTTAAATCCATGGCTTGCAAATAAAACTGGTTTAACAGCTTTACACGAAGCATGTTTACTAAGAAATGTGTCTTTTATTAAACAGTTAGCTAATTTACCAGGTTTTAATACAGTTGTAAATGCAACGGAATCTCAAGGTCATACCCCATTGCACTTAGTTGTAGCAGCTTCATGGAGTACTGAACCATCTGGTATTAGATTGATTCATTATTTGTTAGAACATGAAGCCGATGTGAATGCTGTCACTCGTCTACCGAATGATGAATATGTTACCCCATTAGATCTTGCTTACTTAAATGAGACTAATGATGAAACATCGAAAACTTTACTTATTAATCTAATTAAACAATATGGTGGTCGGACATATCAGGAACTATCAAGTGAAGGAAAAGTTATCATTGATAAGTTTCATAGTAGCGGTAATGATAATACAAAAATCGATGTTAACACTAATGGTAACCATAATGATGTTAATCAAGAGAAAATGTCAGCATCTGGTGTCTTCAATCCAGAAAATGAATTAAAGTCAACAGACATTTCAAGTTCCATGGTTGTTGAAACAATAGTGGGAGAAAAACCACAGATGATTGATTCATCCACTGAACCAATAAGCGAATTTATTATGTCCCTAACATTGAAGGATTCAAGTGTACAAACATGTCTGGATAGGAGAAGGCGAAAAAAGCTATCAACACAATCTTTAACCTTATTGTCTTCTGGAGAACCAATGCATGAAACTATTAGCACAGCACATAATCAACATGTAACGGATAAATCCTTGAATGAATCACTTAACGTTATCTCAACTGAAAGCTCTTCATCCATTACTTTAAAGAATGGAAGTGGAAGGAATAGCTCAATTAATCATGATAGTGGACAAAATACGAATGCTTCAATACAGCTCATAGTCCGAGTACCAACTCCATCAGATTTAAAAGTACGAAATGATAAGTCTAGTGAAAGTAAGACTACAGGAACTGAAAAGAAAAATGTTCCAACCACTTTGATCTCAACAGTTAAAAATCATATTAATGTACAGAATGACAATTGTCATCACTTTACATCGTCTGGGGTAGATGATAAAACTCCGAAAAATTCTAAACATTTACCATATTCACAAATCTACTTAGAAAAAGAACTACCTTTAGCATTGAAACGATATTTGGAAAAAGAGAATTTTAATTATTCACCCTTAACAGGACGTTCTCGTTTGCCTAAACCAACTATATCACCCTATCTACAACCAGTTGTACCCGGTCTACCTTTATATGAAGAAAATGTTGCAATGTCTAGAAAGAACAATCATAATAAACGTATTCCCAGAAAACAGGCTCAGTCAGCTGGTGTATATAACAATAATCTATCCTATTCAAATAATCAACAGAACAAATCGATCTCTAAAATGAATGCTAATATAATTCATCGCAAGCGGTTTAGTTCGTCGGCATCCGCATCAAATTCTTCTACTATGGATGTTTCTATACCCGGAAGTTATCATACGAATAAAATAATACATAAAAATATAAAATATCCACAAGCGCGTTCACAATCATCAAGAAATTTACATGTACCCTCAAATGACAATCATGAAGTACAACAAAGTGTAGCAGATTATGAGTTTTATCGGTTCCTCAACCAGTTATTAAAACAAAATTGTCCAATAACACAAAGAAAAAAGAAAAGAGCCACAACAGCAACAAAAAGAACAATGAGTTTTAAGAATAAACAATCGATTGATGCATATGATGATCGACATTCCGCTATGGGAGGTGAACTAACACCTATTAATAATCATAGAAGTGAACCAAATATAGACACTGAAACGCAAAATTTTAATAGCAAGAAATTAATTAGTAAACAGTTAAACGTATGATGAAACACAGTAGACAGTATGATAAAAATTAACATTGACAGTTATCCTTGACAACATAAAATTCCGTCATTTAATTAATAAAGAACAGTATGTTTCATAACTGAGATATTACATTACACTCGAACAAATGGACAGATGAATAGATATTGTGTTACATAAATGTTATCCTTATGTATCGATGTAATACTTATACAAAACTACTCATTTTCAACAATTCATTCTTGAATAATGAAATTCCTTGTACTTTTTTGTTGTTGTTGTTTGGATCTAACTCATATAAATGACGTAAAACATTTCGAAATATTTATATCGATTACTTTTTTTAACTTTTCAAAGTGTTTTTACATTTGGAAGTTGTATACAAAATTCAATTTTAATTGGACCATTATTATTATTGTTGTTGTTTATTGAGAAACTTGAATTGGTATGTTATTTTACTTATGTTATACTATTGAATGTTTATCATTTGAATTTATTACGTCCATTAAGAAGTTATTGTTCCTTTTTTTATTGAAAAAGAAATTGTTTTCATTTTGTTTGTATTATGGTTCGAGTGATAGTTTTTTCCTACATAGAACTCGATAAATTTTTTTTCATGATGTTTATAATCTTATGAATTAATAGTTGCGTAATTCAGTAGTAATTACAATTTAGTTAAGAAGAGTAATATTTTATGAATGGATTTTTCTTTTAAAGAAAAAGCAGTTTGTTAAATAAATTATTTTGTGATTAGGTAGAGGAATTTTCAACTAACCTATAGATTCACATATAAAGTTTTACGTATTTGTATGTATAAAAAAAATAAATAATAGTGATAGGAAACATTTGGACTGCTCCTCGAAAAACTCTGCCCATCGTCATAGACGTCGATAGATGTTAATGATTGGAATCCCGTCATCTTCACAGATTGTTTCGCTCACACCAGACTTCAGATGAGTTGAAAGAACTTCCGGAAGTTATTAGATCAAGCTGCTGCTTTCAACTCATTGATACGCTTCAACTACCAGACTTCTCAGCCGTTACCCAAGCTTTGACCAATTTCATTACGTAACAGTCTTCGCTTGTGGTCAAACACGTGGTTACCTGAAGTAGACCGACAGGCTTCAATAAGCTGTAAGGAGCCTGAAGAAACCCACTGCTTATAAGCGGGATATTTCGCAAAACCTCATGCGACTTTATTCGCCATTTTCATGGCGTCGTGCAACCCATCGGTCACCTAAACTACTCTCTTCAGTTCCTACATGCCTGACCTGAGCATTCAAATCTCACGCCAGTAGTACAATATCCGTCGAACGCAATTTATGTAGAAAAACTGTTAGCTGGTGGTAAAACGCATCCTTGATCGCATCCGGGATGCAATCTGTCAAAGTATAAGTAGAGCTGGCGAAAAGATATCGTTTCTCACACCGATTTCTCACTTTGATGTGACTTTCTAATCTAACCGACTGTTAATGGGGATCCAGTCGATTAGTGCTACCTCAGCTCTAGCGCTTAGTGCGACACCAACTCCGGCAAAGCTAGACCAAGATGCCACAGGATCCCCGGATAAACGCATTAAAACAAGCTTTCCGGAGCGACGAAGTGAGAGCGAATTTGTAGTATTTCACTAGTCTTGGATAAAAAACAAACATCGATATCAAGACTTTCTAAAGACATAGCCAACCCTGCATTAGTGTGCGAACGTTGAAGGAAACCAGTTAGAATAGTGCACCTGGTTTCAGAAAGACTGTTTCAGTATTCGTATTCGGTGGTAGCATTCAACTTTTGACCAGTCAATGACTCGAGATCATTTAAACAGAACAGGGTTTCCACCATAGGCGAGCTGCTGTATAAGTTGAAAAATAATGTGCGCGAAATGAGAATAAAGGCGAATACATAAGTGACGTGGAATATAAAAAAGTAAAATTAATGTGAATTGTCTGAATTTCAATTGAAGCTAGAATAATATTTCCAGTATTAACTGTCATTCCATTTGATTTGTGTGGGGGCTACGATACTACCCAGGTGTCCAGACCGAAGCAGGTAGTTTTCTTAGAAGCGTACACCCGGTGTCTTTGACCTAAATGTCTAATTTACAAGGCACTGGAGCAACTTTAAGACATAGAGTCCCATAGTAGGGGGTGACCAACAATTGGTCCATACGCCATTTGTTCCTTCGGAATACTGAAGCCTATATGCACCATTGGATTGTAATCAAGGTTTTCAAACTCTCCTAGTTTGACCCTCCGCGTCCACTGCCCCCGTTGGAGCTCCGGACATTCACTCAATTTCGTACACACCTCTCTGCCGCAAGAAGGTAGTCAGCATGACTTTTCTGGCAGCTGCTGTATACACGTGGCCATATGAGAGCATTTTGAAAGTGAGAGCGGACTCTATCCACCCTCGAATCTACCAGGGCATTTTGAGGCTAATGATGGTTTGGTTACATATGTACTACGTTTGATACGAATAATAAAGGCTTGAATCAGTATTCCAGAACAAGAAGTAGATCAAGGACTTGGAAAATAGACATTGAAATAACATTCATTAAAAATTACTGACATTACGATAATTAGACAGCGAGGCGTATATTTAAGACACTGATATCTGAACGAATAATATTGTTTTCAATAAATTCTCTTCAGGTTCTACAGTTCTATTTTCAAATTAGAAAACCCAAAAGTGAACAGGTTCTAGCCAATTACATCGTTTCAAATTATAGAGTGTGAATTCAAGATTGTTTGTAAAATATCATAAAATTGTTACTGTTGAAACGATTAATATGCACCGGTAACTTGAATAGGTTGATGTGTTAAATGAAATTGTATGATTGACAATGAGCATCAAATATAGATGACATAAAGTGAGAAAGACAATAATGCAAATGCAAATTGGATTAAATATTTGGTCATGAATTACGCAATAAATGGAATAATATGAATTGGGTAAGAATTAGTAAACCGAGCCTAATTAGTTGACATTCATTTTGTTGATATGGTAACACAATCTAATTAATGCGCTGACTTTTATAACTTCATTTTATTCATTAACGTAATGACATTATTTATCTGAGAGATTAGCCTGATAAAATGCCTTATGCATCATACTGAATGCATTGAGTAGATATAGACGCCCCCAAATTGATGAATAAAACAATGTATCACGTCAAATGCACTTGTGAATGGATTTAGTTGAAGCTTGACGGATTCAAACTCTGATCCCGTTAGATTCCGCATCTATGAACCGTTGTGACAAGCCAAAGAACTGTATCCATGGTTATCCTCACGTTTCCACGAACTACAGTCAGGTTTCTATCTATCGCCTTGGAAAGTAAAAATCCTAGACAACTGAATTTCGACGAAGCTCTGGATGAAATGGCATTATTAAGTTTCCATACCTACCTCCTTCTGTGAGGACGATTGCGATTTCTCCTAACAGGTTTCCAACCACTTCTATAGCAAACAAACTTCAAATATGGTTTCTGATTCTAATGAAACTGTGAATCACGAATGAAAAAATAGAGAAAAGTTGCCCACTCGAATTGTCTGACTGTATGCTTTCGTGCTTCCAGGGACGGAAACTTTACTAGAAACAATTTGCTTAGAAAAATACTTACCTATGACTGTGATCACGTTCGTACTTGAATCTGAAGTAGCAATAGCGTGATTACTAAAGTTTACTATTATCAAAATGTTCTTCATCGCACAAATTATTGCGTTTCATATTAAAATCAAACCTTTAGTAAATAGTAAGATCACTTTTAGAGCTATCAATATTATTGAACTACAGGTTCGAGGAGTGCAACGGGAAAGGTGCAAAAAGATTTTCATTAGTTAGTTGGTGGATGAGAATACTAAATTTAAATCACAGTCGGTTTAATTTCTTTGCATTATTATCTCTATTTACCCCATGTGACTGACTGACATTATCGTCACGGTTATCGCGATTCCTGACCCCTATTAATGAAAATTTAAGGGTATGATCATAAATATTTAATAATAAATGATTAATGAATCTGTATTTCGAAATGTATGATCACATAATTAGGAACATACTTTTTGTTCCCTTTAATAATTTGTAAATTGACTGTTGATGGTGCATTGTTATAATCTGATTAGTTGGAATTCATCTACTTTAAACTGTTTTGATTGGATGTCAATTTTTTCATTTTTCATTAGAATTTCTTTTTTCTTTAAAAAATCTGTTAGACGGTTTCATTTTCGCGAAATATGAAATTGTATCTTAAGAAAAGTCTAGAACACTTATATTCGAACACCACACGATACAAGTGGTTGTTAATGGAAGAGTGGTATCATTTTTTTTTTACTCAATACATGGAAAACAGAACTAGATTTGTCCCTTGATGTCAATTGAAGTCACCAATGATTGTGACAATAGAAAAGTTGTAATAATTACATGCATATAATTTCATTCTAAACGGAAAGACTCTACATATTATCCAAAGTACACTAGAAAAAACTGATAACTATTTCTCAATTATGATGACGATCAGTTTATTGACAACAGACACTGATTTCTAACTACATTAGTGTTTATTGTACCTGAAAACTAGTAAAATTCTGAATGGATAAGGAGAAAATTATTTTCCATTTAAATATTTCAATGAATTAATTGAACCCATCATTTAATCTGATAAATGTTTTTTTCACAAGTCTTAAACTTATTTCCATTCACTATTATTCTCTGCCCTTGAAAAAATATACCTTGACAACGAATGCAAAAATAAATAAGCATAAACGTAAATATACAAGCATCTGAAATGAGAAAGCGGAATGCATTGTTAACATTTCACATTTTTATGTGTTAGATGTAACACTTTCATCTTACAAGAAAACTGTGTATTTCAACCTTTAGCTTTATCTTCAGAGAAAGTGATACACATATGCAGAAAATCATGTACAATTGATATTATGTAATAAGGGCAATTATAAATTGTGATGATCTCAATGGTCTAGGCGTAACACTGTATGTTCAAATCAGTTCGAGTACTGATTATTTTA